AGGTTTTTGCTATAGGGCATGTGCACTCGCCAGAAAAACAGAGAGACAGAAAGCGAAAAATCACTCCCCCAGGGGGGATGGCCACACTGCAATCCCTTCTCCTCCATTCTCCTCTCGGGATCTTGGGCATGCACGCACACACACCTGGCATGAGTTGAAGCCACCGGGTCCAGGACTCAAACTGCGGTTGACTACATGGGAGTCCAGCGACATAGCCATTACACTAACTGCTGGTCCCACGATTTGCATTTTTACCACAACCATCTACCTAGTGCAGATCATAAACAATGTCACCCTGCTAGTTTTCTTTTCCTCATCCCCTCCTTACAGACTATGAAACACGTCTGTTGCTGTAGCTCCAAAACATTAAGTCATTGGGAAAGTCATGACATATTTTTCTATGCAAAAATGCATCATCACTTTCCCGACGACCCAACAGATAACTGAATTCCTGCCCCCTCTATGTCTTTTGCTATCACCCTAGTCCAAATGCACCATCTATTATTGAGCTCCCTACTTTCTTCGCATAGCAGCCAGTGTTCTTCTGAAACAGGAGATTAGATCACACCACTATCCTGTTTAAAACTCTCCAGTGACTCCTCATTAACAATGAAATCCAAATACTTTAACAAGTTTGACAAGACAGTATGAGATTTGTTCCTTCTCATCCTAATTTCATCCCCTACCTCTTTTCCTTGCTCACTGCACCAGAACATTTTTACAAAAAAAAAAATCTCTCGGGAACCAGCAGTTAGCGTAATGGCTATGTTGCTGGACTCCCGCATAGTCGGCCGCGGTTCGCATCCTGGACCCGGTGGCTTAGAACTCACGCCGGGCGCGTGTGCGTGCGTGCCCAAGATCCCGAGAGGAGAATGGAGGAGAAAGGATTGTGGCGTGGCCATCCCCCCTGGGGGGTGATTTCTCGCTTTCTGTCTCTCTGTCTGGCGAGCGCATGCGCCCTATAGTGAAAAACCTCTCAAAAAAAAAAAAAAAACTCTCATTACCTCCCCTCAACTTGTCAAGCTTTTTTCCACTTGGGCTTTTATACTAGGTGATCTTTCAAAAATATTCTCTCCACCCACTTCCAAATATTGCTATTCATTTTATTCTAATCTGAGCTTAAATAGTTCTTGACAGGCCATCTCTGACTCCTCTCCTTCATTATCCTATTACTGTGTTTTAGTTTCTTCCTACTGCTCATGGTTATCTGTTAATTTGTCCATACACCAAATGGAATGTCTTTCATCACTAAAATAGAAGTTCATTAGAGCAGTAGGAGTTAGACCCACTTACAGGTAAATAGGGTAAAGGCCCCAAAGGGAAGTCACTGTGTTTTTCCTCTATAATCTGGTTAATGTACAATGTACACCCCTTTTACATGTCTCTAAAGAATGTATAACTCCTTGTTAATAAGGCAGGAAATAAGGATATTGAGCACACAAGGCAAGGGCAAGATGGAGTCAAGCAGCTAAGTTTTCACGGCAAAAAGCTGGCCGCTTTGGGACTCAAAGCAACTGTAGCTAAGGCCAACAGTTTCTACTTAGTGACTGTATTCTGACAAAAAGTACAGAATGCTATGGTCCACTGACTCCATAAAGAATAGGGTAATAAATCAGACTACCATGTGACTATTTTCTGAAGCCTACTTCCTTATCAGAAAACCAGCCCATTGCTTGGACTGTTGGATGAAAACTCCTTGCCCCAACTCTTGGCAACCCATTTGGGCCCCCTTTGACTACACTGGAAGCTTCCTCTCCTTCCCTAATAAACTTTGATTACTATCCTCTCCATTTGTCCACGTTTCTAATTCTTTGTGAGCAAAGGACAAGAACCAGCACAGGTGTTGGGTCTGATGACCTAGTACTCCTGCATCAGCGAGAATCATTTTCTTCAACATTATATCCTTAAAACCAGTAAAAGTGTCTGGTACACAATAAAATTCAATAAATATTTGTTAAATTTACATATAATATTACCAAGGTGATTTTATGAGATTTTTTTTTTCTTTTTTGGTCAGAGGTATGTACACTTTCCAGAGAGAGACAAAGAGGAAAAACAGGAAAACACCCACTCACCTAGTTAGGCCCTATCATGTCGTAATACCTTCTCTTTCATCTTTCTTTTCAGGATTCCAGGCATGCATGCACACACACCTGCTTTGTTTCTCAAGGCACAAGACTCGAACTATGCAGTCAGCCATGTGTGGGATCCAGCTGCCTTAACCACCATGCCACAGGCTGGCCAAGAATGATTTTAATTGATACCTAATTTCAACAAGAACGCTCGGTCACTTAAGTAATCCTGTAACTTTGGATAAGTTCCTTATCCTCAGAGCAAAAATTTACTAATATTTAAAATGGTACTATTTACCTCATAAGGCCAATACTAATTGAGGATTAAATGAAGCACCTGACAATAAACACTTGAGAACAGGAGCTATTTTTCTTAGTTTTTCATACTTAATGTATGCATTATCATTCTAAGTGGTCTAGATTATTTTTTAATATGGAAAAGTTCAAGTAGTCATTTCTATAGACAGAAGAATGTTTTGGTCAAGATGTATGGGCCGTTTATATTTTCATCTAAATGAACTGCCTTACCATATTCCAGTAGTTTTTTTCCTCTTTCATTTCATCCTTTTCCACAAAGAATACCGTTTTCTATCATTTATTAAAGTCACTGTAATGTTAACTTCAAGAGGGGAGGCTGAAGTAATGCTGATGCTGACTGGGCATCTATAATAGGTTCACTCAAAGCCAAGATCCTTCCACATACAAAGTTCAGATCCATGCCACAGAAAAGGACTGCTCTCTACACATTGTTATGGCCATTACAAAAAGTCAGAAATAGAGCCAGACTACTGTGCTGCTTAAAAAGGATTGTTGGATGGGTTCTTCAAGTACTAAGATAAGCATCTTTTTCTGATACGGATTCTTTTTTTTTTTTGGAGAGGTTTTTGCTATAGGGCGTATGTGCTCACCAGACAGACAGAGACAGAGAGATAGAAAGCGAGAAATCACCCCCCAGGGGGGATGGCCACGCCACAATCCGTTCTCCTCCATTCTCCCCTTGGGATCTTGGGCACACACGCACACACACCCTGCGTGAGTCTCAAGTCACCGGGTCCGGGACGCGAACCAAGGTCGACTACGTGGGAGTCCAGTGACATAGCCATTACGCTATGAGATGGATTCTTAATGAACCATGAAAAATATATCCACATTTTCTCATCATAGCACTACTTGTATGTAGACTACACAACAATACTATAGGAGAAAAGTATCTCTGATAATTGGTCTCAATATCATTTCTCTTCTCATCTTCTCTACTTTTCCTACAGGCTTACATTGGCATGGGTAAGTATACCTTATCAGTATACTTGTCATACTGTATTCTTGTTTGTTTGGTTTTTTGGTTGCATAAACACAAGTGCAACAGAAGGCTGCTTTTGTGGCCTTTTCAATATCAACAGAAGTTTTTAATTAAATAATCTTAGCTAGAGTTATTATTAGAGATCTCCATAGCTCCATAATCATTAAGTAGAATATCTTAACACTTCTTAAACTTAATACCAGTTACTCAATATCTTAACTGAATTAT